ACATTCTTGCCAATGCATCTTTACAATTTAAAAATAGGCCTTGTCAAATGTAATGTACATCATTATTATTGTGAGTACTTAGTTTAAATTATACTCTTTAATAATGATAGTACAACCAGGGATGTATCTTACACGAGGCAAACAAGGCATCTGCCTTGGGCGGCACTTTGTAGGGGGCGACAAAAAAAGCAGCCCCAAACGCCCAGGCAGGTCCCTTGCTTGCCTCGTGTCCTGGGGGGCTCAAGACCTGGCCACTTTTGAGCCTCACCCCTCCCACCCCACCCGAGGCTGGCGGCGGGCAACGAGGGAGCATACTCAACTGAGCTCTTCCTGCTTAGCTCCCTGCGCGACGCTTAATGAAGCTGGGAGCCGGAATATGACTTCAGACCTTCTCCCAGCATCACTAATTGGCGCACGCTGCATACTCTGCCTGTCCGCCCCCTGCCTGCCTGCCGAGCAGCCCTACTGGACAGGTAAGTAACCCACTCCAGTTCTCCCAGGGAGGCTGGGTGGATTTAAAAGAAAAAATATGTGTGTTGGGGGAATTGTCTGTGAGTAAATGTGTGTGTGTGTGTGTGTCGGTCAGTGAATGTGTATGTGTCGGTCAGTGAGTTAGCGCGTCTGTCAGTGTGTGTCTGTCTATCAGTGTGTCACATCAGTGAGTGTGTGTGTGTGTTTGTCAGTGTATATGAGAGTGTCTGTCTGTCAATGAGTGTATGCATCTATCAATGAGTGTGTGCGTCTGTCAGTCAAAGTGCGGCCTTGACTGGAAGGGGTGGGGAAAATATAAATTAAGGGGGGGGGTGTTAACCACAACACGTGGGAGGAGTTTCTTCCCTCCCTTGTGGTCTCTGAGGTCATCACTGTGTGCCGGGTTACATGACCGGGTGCAGCACACATATAACCCATGACCTCTCGGCGGCCTTTGACACCGTTGATCATGCTCTCCTTCTCCAAACTCTGCAATCGCTTGGTCTCTGTGACTCTGTCCTCTCGTGGTTTTCCTCTTATCTCTCCCAACGCTCATTCAGTGTCTCTTTTTCTAATGATACCTCCTCCCCTCACCCTGTCTCGGTTGGAGTCCCCCAAGGCTCCGTCCTTGGTCCCCTTCTATTTTCTCTTTATACTGCCTCTCTTGGCAAACTTATTACCTCATTTGGTTTCCACTACCACCTGTACGCTGATGACACCCAGTTATATCTCTCCTCCCCAGACCTCTCCCCTGCTGTCCTGCAACGTGTCACTGCTTGCCTTTCTTCCATCTCTGACTGGATGTCCTCCCGCTTTCTGAAACTCAATCTCTCAAAAACTGAGCTCCTTGTCTTTCCTCCTCCTAATACTGATCCTCCTCTTTCGCTCTCCCTTCAAGTTTGTGGTACCAACATCAGCCCATCCTTGCAAGCGCGCTGTCTTGGCGTCATACTTGACTCTGGTCTCACCTTTGAGCCTCACATCCAGCATGTTGCCAAATCCTGTAGATTCCATCTTAAAAACATAGCCCGCATCCGCCCCTTTCTTGCACCAGATACTACCAAGGAGCTTGTCCATGCTCTAATAATTTCACGCATGGATTATTGTAACCCTCTCCTGCTTGGTCTTCCCAAAAGCCGTACTGCACCCCTACAGTCTGTAATGAATGCTGCTGCTAGACTGATTTTCCTCTCTAGTCGGTTCTCTCACACCTCACCCCTCTGCCAGTCCTTACATTGGCTTCCTGTGTGCTATAGGAGTCAATTCAAGGCACTAACTCACACCTATAAAGCACTGAACAACTCTAGCCCCTCTTATATCTCCTCACTGATCCACAGGTATGTCCCTTCTCGGTCTCTCCGCTCTGCCCGTGACCACCTCCTGTCCGTTGTCCGCACCCGTACGGCCAACTCGCGCTTGCAGGACTTCTCGCGGGCGGCTCCCTTCCTATGGAATAGCCTGCCTACCGCCATCCGACTCTCCCCTAGTCTTGCATCTTTTAAGAAGTGCCTTAAAACCCATCTCTTTAGGAAAGCTTATGGCCTCCAAGACTAACCCCTACCTCACATACCCGTCTCTTGCCCTCTCCTAAAGGGCAGCCCACCTTTTTTGATTGCACATTCCTGTCCTAATGTGTCTTACACCCCACCTCCTATAGAATGTAAGCTCGATTGAGCAGGGTCCTCTTCAACCTATTGTTCCTGTAAGTTTATTTGTAATTGTCCTATTTATAGTTAAATCCCCTTTCATAATATTGTAAAGCGCTACGGAATCTGTTGGCGCTATATAAATGGCAATAATAATAATAATAATAATATAAGAAAGCTGCTCTGGAGCGTGCAGCATCAGACACACTGCCAGTCTGGAGACAGGGACCAGATGACGCCGCTCGCTGTAATGAGGTAAGCAAGGTCGCCGCAAGCGGTGCGGGGGCAGGAGACCTGACACTAAATTTGCCCTGCTTGACAATTCGTCCCAAGCACGGTTAATTAAAGAAGAGATCAGGCAGAGAGCTGAGGAGAGGAGGAAAGCCCGGAGGTGGTTGTTAGATGAAGATTAACTCCCACAAAGCAGCTCTGGAATGGAAGAAATGTGAGTAAATCAATATATTTAACATGAAATACATCATGTATATTTGTGATATATGGTGTATTCAATATAAATGGGAGCGATTTTTAGATAAGTGAAAATTTTCAAATAGCAGATTCATGGCAGTAAATCTCTCAATACGTCCCTGTAGGTCAGGGGTGCCGAAAAGCTAGATCCCCAGACGTTGTAGAAGTACAACTCCCATGGTGCTTTGTGTGTCTTTAGAATGCTTTAGAGTCCATTAAGCAGTTTTAAAACATCTGGGGATCTACCTTTTAGGCAGCCCTGCTGTATGTCGTTCCAGGAATAAACGTGCCTATAGCATTTCAGTCTACATGTTTCGTCCTTTTGGACTTTATCACAACTAATTCACAGGGCCAGACCACCCAGGCCATCAGTGAGTTGAACTGTAGAAGCAGAGAGCAGAACAGCTAGTGAATAATACTCCTACTAAGAAGGTTTACGACACCACTAGTGTTGTTGCACTAATGCAATTTTTCAGCAACAGATAGAGTGATTGATAACCAGCTCAGCTTCCAACTAAGGAACGATGATTGTATCACAAGCTTTTCCTTTTAGTTGAACAAAAATTGTAGTCCAGCTACTCAAGGATTTATTGGAAGAGAGTGCAATGTTTCGATCCCACAAGGGATCTTTCACAAGCTTTTCCTTTTAAACATTTTGCCCATGAACAATAAACTTTTATAGTGGATTTCTATTGAAGATTGTTTTGACTGCCTTAAATTGCCATTGTTCATGTGTGATTTTTCAATAAGCTAAACTGTTCTCTCTCTATCTTTTTTTATTCCTCCCTGTACCTCTTTCTAGCCTAAATAGTCTGCTCCAATTGTATATAATTACTACTATAATTGTTTTATGTAATCCATCTGCAAGTTTTATGTTGAGAACGTCAGCAGTAGATACAGTTTAATTACATGATGGGTATGTTGTTATGGGATGTATCAAGTGTTTATTTTAGAATTTCATTGGCATTCTTTTTTTTTAATGTTGTTTTATGTCATCAGTTACACAATAAACAATCTATATTTTAGTATGCCACGACAAACGTTCCTCTGTAGGAAAGTCAGAATAAGATTATTTTTACCTATATTTATGTTGACAAGCATTCCAGATTTTAATTGACATATTGCCAAACTACTCCTGGTATTAAACATCATTTTGTAATATATTAGAGTAATAATCTAAACATTCTGATTCTGAGTAACGTAAAATGACTATCTTTAGTTCTACTGCTGGCATCATTTTATGGAGGCTTGGCCATGTAATGAGGACTACTTCAATCTGAAATGCATCCGGTATCTTGTTCTTGAGGCTAAAAAGCAATCATGTAAAAAGCCTTAATTTTGTGTTTTTCTTGTGTCCTTATTCACACTACTTGCTTCTTCTGTGTCTTACTGGTTACCTGAACTTATCTCAAAAAGGATCCTTCAGTGACCGCCTTGACCTACAGTTTGGATTTGACTGTTCTATATAGCTTAGGGCATCCACTAATTGTCTAATCATAAAGGGATACTATAGGCCAGGGGCGGATCCAGAACCACATCATAGGAGGGGCACTGGTGGTGGTGGGCTATAACAGGGTGAAAAGGGGTTCAGCGGAGGGATAGGGGGCTCTAGTTTAGGGTATAGGGGGCTGTACACATATGTGGCCACACACAGGTGTATGGAAACACAATAACACACATACACACATGTACTCACACTGACAGATAGGGTGTGTTTTGTCATCATTAATGACAAGCATGCCCCCTCTCAAAGTGAGCATGTTGGTTCAATGCGCAGAGCCCTGCTGAAGAGCTCTAGCATGGGAAAAAGGCCCTGTATTTGTTCTGCACAACGCAAGCAAAGGTAATAACATGTTTGCACTGTGTTTGCTTTTAACTTGTCTCTGGTGTCTCCATAAGTGGGATACCAGAGGACAAAAGGCCCAGAAAAGCGTATGGTGCATGTGTTTAAAACCAGCTTGTGGGATTGCGTGTGTGTAGAGTGAGCTGATTGTGGTATTGCGTAAATAGGTTGATTTTATTCATGTTTGTGGTATAATATGTGTGGCTAGAGAGTGTGTGTATAGGGTGCATAGTGTGTATAGGGGATGTAGCGAGTGTGTGCATACGGGCTGTAGTGTGTGGGTGTGTATATAGGTAACGTAGTGTGTGAAGGGGTTGTAGAGAGTGTGTGTTTAGAGAATGCTGTGTGTGTTTGCCTACAAGGAATGTAGTGTGTACATAGGGGATCCAGAGTTTGTAAGTCAGGAATGTAGTGTGTGTAGGTGGTGCAGTGTGTGTGTAGGGGATCTTGTGTGTAAAGGACCCAGAGTGTGTATAAGAGATTGTGTGTGTGTGTGTGTGTGTATAGAGAATTCAGAGTGTATACATGGTAAGGGATCTAGTGTGTATCTGGAGCATAATGTGTGTAGTGGTGCAGTGTGAGGGGTGCTGTAGTGTGTGTGTGTGTGTGTATATATATATATATATATATATATATATATATATGTGTGTGTGTGTTTGGACGTATTGTATGTGTGAAGGGCGCAGTATGCTGGGTGTGCTGTGTGTGTGAGGGTGTTCTTATCTACTGTCACATTCTATGTTTCTAATTTTCTTTTTCTGTTAACTTACTGAGGGTTATTTTACATATTATACATACGTGTGTGTGAGGGTGCTGTGTGTGTGAGTGAGGGTGCTGTCTGTGTGGTGTGTGTGTGCTGTGTTTGAGTGCTCTTAGTGTGAGTGTACATATGTTTATATAAATATGTATTTTTTTTTTGTATTACTTTATATCCCTCCCTTCTTACCTTTAGCCTGGCAGGGGGAGGGCTGTGTTTCCATGGAGGGGGGAGTCATGCTGCCTTACCTGGTGGTCTCAGTGGTGAGAGTGGAAGGGTAGAGTTCACTCTTGCGAGATCTGAGCATTGCCATGGTAACCGCGGCAACGCTCAGACCTCGCAAAAGGAACCCGGCGGAGCTGCTGGCTAGAGCTCCCTAGGTCCTCTCCTGCCTCCCTCCCTCCCCAGCCGGCGGACGCATATTAGTGCCTCTGGGTCGGTGAGGGAGATAGCGTCGGCTCTGCATGGGCCGACAGGGGAGATCCTGTGATCTCCCCTACCGGCCTCGGCCCACAGCCATCACGGCACACTGGGCATTTACCTGCTATGCCCAATGGCTAGTCTAGGCCTGCACACATACCTTTATATACAGATACAAGGTTATAGAATATACAAGCAAAACTCCAGGTACTGAAGGTGTATTTATTACACAGTAGAACATGGGTGTTTTATGTACAACAATTGTAAATTTCTGTAATCCTCATTCACTATCATTCTGCAACCAATGGGACTTTCCTGAGGCCTTTTCCCAGCAATGTATAACCTGCTGCACCATTAGTACGGACTAGTTATTTGTATGAAAGAACACCTGCTAGCCTCAATTACCGTCTACCAACGCATACTTACTGTTAACAAGGTACATAAACCAGTCTGGTCCTTGTTTTGTGATTTAGACAGGTATGCTGCTATTTGATCTCCAGATTTTGACCCTTCACTCATTAACCTATGTACAATGTTTTGATGCATTCCAATCCTTACCGAGTTAGTGTGACTTGCCCAATTTAAGTTCACATTTTAGGTCTATATAGCCAAATTGTAAAAAGGAGTGCAGCTCAATTTGGCTGTTGGTGCCTAAAAGTTGATTAATTGGGGGGCGTGGCTTGGACGCCGAACATGATGGCGGCTTAGTGAGGGAGCTCCCCGCCGGCTCTGCACTTTTCCTCGCCGAGCCGTGTGTCAGGACCGCACGATGGGGAAATCACACAGAGCCACGCACGCAGTGAAGTCCGCGGACACCCCTAGGGGGTCCCCGGCACCCTCGATGAGGCAATACCTGATCACCCCGGCCGACCTCGCATCCCAGGCCTCAAATGAGTCCCTGGCCACGGACAACATGCTGTCGCAGCCCGGGAGAGACGAACTGGATGCCGCTGGCACGGCAGAGCCCCCCCTGGATTGGGTGAGGGTACTCAGCAACCTACCCACCAAAGCAGATCTTAAGGAAGCTAATGCAGCCCTGCAGAAATCAATTACAACAGAACTGCACGCCATGAGGGAGGACCTGCAGGGCCTCAACCACAGAGTCTCCCAGCTGGAAGCAGATAATGATCACGCACACGCGGTACAATCCACAACTACCGACGCCATACTTAAGCAATCTGCACAACTCAGACAGATGGCATACCATATAGAGGACTTGGACAACAGAGGCAGAAGACAAAATATCAGAGTAAGAGGTATTCCTGAACATACTGCCAACACTGAACCTGTGAAAGAGACACTCACAGACCTCTTCAACAAACTGCTGAGCAGGCCTGAGTCCACTAAAATTGACTTTGTCAGAGCACATCGCGCACTGCGCCCTAAAGGGGCCCCGGAAGACCCCCCCAGGGACATCATCTGTTGCTTGGCCAGCTTTCAACTTAAGGAGGACATATTGCGGAGAGCACGGGAGACTGACCACGTCCTCATAAACGGAGCAGAGGTCCAACTCTATCCGGACCTGTCCCCGGCCACGCTGGCCTATCGCCGGGCGATGCGCCCGCTGACGAGAATCCTGCAATCTAACAAACTAAGGTACCGGTGGACCTTCCCAACAGGCCTGCACGTTTTCACACCGACAGGCCCCTTCCTAGTCAAGGGAGAAGATGACCTAACCGGGTTAACCCGAGAACTGCAGCTCCCGCCGATCCATATGCAGTGGCCAGACCCCCTGGCCTTCTACACGTTTGCCGCAAGCGCCCAGACACCGACCCAAAAACCACAGAGACAGCGAAGATCCCGCATGCAAACGATACGCCCGTCGGGGGCAACTATGTAACCAGAGGCGTAAGAAACCTGGACCTGTCTTGTGCTGCCTGGACATGACTCCGCATACAGGCGTTGTTGACTGCCGCCCCACAGCCCAAGTGCCCAGCCGAGTGACCCTCACGGACTTCCTCAGCAGTGACAGCAATGATGGGGCACCGAGCAGCCGTGCAGCTCTGAAACATCGCTCAGACGGCTCCCCGCAAGTATCACAACCCCCCAAGCCCAGTTGCTCTGTTTTAAAAGGGACTTTAGCCCCCCCTAGACCTAGAACTATAGCGTGATACGGGGAGGCCTCACTGGGCCACACAAGCTAGCTGAGTCCTTTTGGGAAAAAAAAAAAAAAAAAAAATGTTTGACCTGAGGGGAATACTGGGCACTGTACTGAGACCCGGGTGCCTCTGAGAAGGGATGGGGGGTTGGGGGCGGAGCCCAAAGCTTGCTAATATTGTATATTGCTGGGGGACCCATGCCCGGAGAGAGGGAATGTGGGGCCTGTGCCCCGACCGGGCCGGGCCGGGGCCGACCTCCTGACCCACGCGTGACGACCCACTTAGGTGAGCGTGTGGGGGGAGCCGGCGCCGGCCTGGCCTGCTGGGGGCCCGGGCCCCCCCAAGGAGTGGAGGGGGGAGAGACAGAACCCAAGAGAAAGACCTATCCTGCCCATGCATGGAGGAGGGGCGGCCGGATGGAAATGCGGGCAGGACGGGTGCATGAGCACAGGGACCAGGTGGCGGGGGTGCACCCAACATGAAGCTCCATGACTGGAATGTTATAACTGTTATAACTGTTTTCTATGTTTCTCATTTTATATTTTACATTTTTCATATGCATAAGGTTTCCCCCTCTGACTTTTCATATATTCGTACGCTCAAATTTAAACCTGACACACACCATAACTAGAAGGCCCTAGGGCCAACACCTCACAAGGCGAGGAACATAAAGTTGACACACATGCAAACAGAGCCAATAGGGGACGACGTCGGAGGAGTTCATAAAAGGACTTGCCTACGATTCGGTAGACCACACCCTCACGCGCGCTACCTAGTGGTTCGCAACTTCCTTCGACCCCCCCTTAGGATAGGGCGCAAGGTACTGGGCGGGTAATTGCCCCTTATCCCTGGTGGACAGGCGCTTATCCCTACCCAGACGCTCGTACCTAGACAGCGCTCTTACAGGCGCTGGTTCCCCTCCCCCACCTTCCCACGCTGATTGACCCTCCCCCCCCAACTCCCCCCAACCCCGACCATGTCACTGCGACCGGCATATCTTCATATCACCACAATCAACGCTAAAGGACTAAATAAACCTGAAAGACGCTCGCATGCCCTGAGAAACTTCCATAGCACTGGAGCGTCTATTGTATATATACAGGAAACGCACTTTCGAGACGGATCTAGACCCAAAATGACTGACCATCACTATACTAAGGGCTACTACAGTGACTATAATGCGGGAAAATCGCGAGGAGTGGCCATACTAATACACAAACACGTACCGTTCACAGAAACAGCGACTGAGACTGACCCCGAGGGGAGATTTCTATTCCTGAAGGGCACGATAGCGGACACCACCTATACTTTCGCTAATATATATGCCCCCAACCAGAGACACTACAGGTTTTTCACCCGCACTCTACGTTTACTTCGATCGTTCGCAGAGGGCATACTAATCCTGGGAGGGGACTTCAACCTGACCATGGACCCAAAATGGGACTCGTCCTCAGGGACCTCGAGAGTCCCACCCCAACACCTGACTAACATCAAGACCCTTTTTCGACGTCTACACCTCCTGGACTGCTGGAGGGCACACCACCCAGACGAACGGGACTATACGTTCCTGTCCTACCCACATAACACATACACACGACTGGATTACTTCTTCATGTCCCACTATGACCTGGCCCTGGTGAGGGCAGTGGAACACGGTACGGCAACGTGGTCAGACCACGCGCCGGTCACTCTCACTCTAACGTCCCCACTACATAGGCCCAAGGTCTCCAAATGGAGACTAAACGAATATATGCTGTCGCTCCCAGAAATCGTAACGGAAACTAGTAAACTATTGGGTGACTACTTTACAGAAAATACCCCAGCCCAGACCTCACACACACTTACCTGGGAGGCACACAAATGTGTGGTTAGAGGTCACCTCATACAGAAAGGGGCAAGACTGAAAAGACAACGAGAGGCACAAATTACAACACTCATACAAGACATACACGCGCTAGACGAATCCAACAAAAGGGACGGACACCTAGACAACCAGGTAAAGCTGCTCCAGCTAAGGAGGGAACTAGCCACACTCCTACACGCTAGACACCACAGGGAAGCAGCGCGGCACAACGCATTTTTCACTATCCATGGCAACAAGAGCGGAAAACTCCTTGCGCGAATGCTCACCAAGCGTAGACAACACCTATATATCGAAAAGATACGGGACAAAACAGGCACTCTACACCGCCTCCCCGACAAGGTTCAGGAGGTGATACACTCATATTACTCCGAGCTGTATAACCTCCCAGGGCCGCAAGACCCGCAGACACAAACCAACCTCATACACAAAATACAAGAATTCCTGCAGACACATACACACACGCGCATAGAAAGAGACACAGCAGAAGCGCTTGATGAACCCATCACCGCGGAAGAACTGGCATGGGCAGTCAAAGCGACAAAACCAGGCAAAAGCCCGGGTCCAGATGGCCTCCCGCTGCGCTACTATAAATGCTTCGCAGAGACCCTATACACTCCGATGGTGGCCTCTTTTAATGCGATCAGAGAGGGACACCACTGGCCCACACAATCCCTCATGGCGCACATCACAATCATACCCAAGGAGGGCAGAGACGGAGAGTATTGCGGCAACTACAGACCAATTTCCCTCATAAACTGCGACCTGAAATTGATGGCGAAGATACTGGCAACTCGCCTACAACAGCACATCCCCACCCTGGTCCACCCAGACCAGGTGGGGTTCGTAACGGGTCGCGAGGCCAGGGACAACACTATAAGGGCACTATCGATAGTACACGGGGGACCGGCCAGGCACGGAGGCCTTCTCCTGCTCTCCACGGACGCGGAGAAGGCCTTCGACAGGATCGGATGGCCATACCTGTTTCAGGCCCTTATACACCTGGGTTTGGGGACGCACATGAGGGGATGGATAGAGGCCCTGTATAGGCAACCTAGGGCACAAGTCATTGTCAATGGCGCACCCACAAAGGCTTTCACCATACACAACGGCACCCGCCAGGGGTGTCCCCTGTCGCCGCTGCTCTTCGTCCTGGCCCTAGAGCCATTTCTCCACGCGGTGAGGCACAATCCAGACATCCAGGGGGTGGAATTGGGCGGCACACA